CAAGCCTCCTTAACCATACTTATGTTAATTTCCTTAAGCTAAAAGGCAACAGAGGGTCCTGTGGCACCTTTGAGGTTAACAGAAGTATTGGGAGCATAAGCTTTCATGGGTAAGACCCTGACTTCTTCAGATGAAAGAAGTGAGGTTTTTACCCACGAAAGCTTATGCTCCCAATACTTCTGTTAGTCTCAAAGGTGCCACAGGACCCTCTGTTGCCTTTTAGCTTAAGGAAATTAACATAAGTATGGTTAAGGAGGCTTGTGACTTTTGGCATATATAAATGGCCTAACAGTCACCCTTGTAGATTTGGGGAAACTAGACATGTTTCCCTAAGAAAGTAGAGGCTTAACAGTGACCACAGTTCTATTATTCACCATCAATCTCGAGCATTGAGGAACCTGGACCATCAGACTGTTGGCATGCCAGGGATGAGGCTGGTCCTTTGTCTCTTACCACCAGTTCTCCAAGGAAGGGTGTGAGTATGCTGATCTAGGAACTTCTGTAAGGGGTGATACTATAGGTACTCCCAGAACTGTATATTCCCTTTTGGTTCTGTGGTTTGGAACTTTGATAACCTTTTCACTTATTTTAATAAAAGTCTCTAAGGCTGCTTTGTCCTCAGCGCGAGTGTTCTTGCCATAAACACCAAGGGTCCTTACAAGATGCAGAACACAGTGTACCTGATTCTAGAACAAGACCCTTATTATCTTCTGGTCAGACCAATTGGAGAGCTTATAACAATATACTAACCTCTAAAAATCAGGCAATGGGGGGCAGCCGTGGTCCTGGAACCTGCCCCTTTATCTCTGGCCAGAAGTTCCTGCCTCTGCAGGATCTTTGCAAGGCAGCACTTGTATGCTGACAAAGCAATTCTTCTGACATAAGAATTTGCCAGCTCCTCACCAGTAAAAGAGGGAAAACATAAGTTCTTACCAGTTGCAGAATTATCGCTTTAAATTTGGCAAACCCATGCAGCTGCAGACTTCAAAGGCTCAATCTAGAAAGGCAGGCTGGGAAAAAAGTTCCTAGGAAAGAAGTGTGATGCCAAGATACAGTAAGATTAAAAGGCACAGTTTATACAATGGTGGCTTGTCCTGGCAATGAGTGTTGAGCAACAAAGAAGAAATGTGAATGTTGAGAAGGATGAGTGGGGAAAGCAAGAAAGACCATGTGAGGAATATATATGTGAGAGACATGCTCAAAGTAATATCCCTAAATGAAAAAATGAGGGGGCTACAGGCTCAGTAGGTTTGGTCATGCAAAGTGCAGCAGTGACAACTACATAGGTGAGAGACTCCAAAAGATCAAGACTGAAAGAAAAAGACAGAGGCCTACCCAAGAAGAAGTGGTGGCTGTCATAAAGGAAGTCTGGATACCATGCAGTATGATACACGATATGGCACTGAACAGAGCACTTCAGAGGGAGAGGACTCATAAAGTAGACCCCATTTGATGGGATTAATGCACGGAAGAAGTAGTAGTGATGTCCTGCCTAAAGCCACTTTACCACAGGTCAATGGGAAAGTTCATTTAAAAGAGGAATACAATATACCAACGCTCCCAAGACATGGTGCTCTCATTTTTCTATTTTCACCCCAAGCGCCATCCAGAAGACAGATGTGTGACTAGGCCAGTCTTCTCCCCAGCTTGTTTGGGATCCACTGCCATACCCACAGTCTCTTTTGAGACAGTTTTATTGACCAAACTTAAACAAAAATCAAGCAAGCCCAATTCCTCAATTCACCCTGGGCTACAATCCCCAGGGGACTTTTCCCCTTTACTACTCAGGCTTTCACTGTCTCTCCTCCCAGGGGACTCTGGCAGTCCTGCTGCTTCCTGCAGCTTTTTTAGCTCTGACTTACCTAGTGTCACTCTGCCTCAGGCCCAAGTGGCTGCTTTTAAAGCCTAATATGGGCCAATTGATGCAGCACAGACGCACTGGTTTTAAAAGGGCTAGCACCACACTGTTTGTACATGTACATCAACAGGACTAAGCTATTTTTATTCTGGTGAATACATCCTAGTTGCAGGGGTCAGAAAGCTCACAAGAATGCTATATCCACCTGGATATGCATAACTGAATTACACACAAGAAGGAGATTTAAATCCCCCAGAGGAACTGCAGGCACATGCTGCTGGATAAAACTGTCACTTCTTGGGACAAAATAGCCTCATAATTAGCAAAGGAAATTTGTGAAGCAGCCAGATAGTTCAACACACTTATCTTCACCAGACATTGAAAACTAGATTCTTATCAACTGGTGCAGCAGTGAGCAGGAACATTCTGTGGTAACCCACTAAGCTGCACGCCGCTACACTGAATTTCTATTATCCTCTCCCTGTTTATCTTGATATTTTATTTGGTTACATCCTGTTCAGCCTTTGAACACACACACTTAACTTTCATTGGCATCAATAGGGCAGGGGGTATCTGCACATCTGAGGGTGGAATTTACCTGTAAGACTTCTCCCAAACTATGGACCAGATTCTCAGCCCCATTTTCCAATGTTCCATTTTCATACTTTATAAACAGAGAACACACATTTCTTTTTTTAAAGACCACACTTCTTCTAAATCCAGCATTAGCAGCTTTTGGAGAAATGGAAAGGTCAGGGCTGGTAACTCCAGACAATGCTTGAGGTTAATCCATTGTTTTCTTGCCTAGTGGATTCAGGAAGTGAATATTCTACCACTTTGTGCAATTGACTGTGAATGCGGTGGCCTAAGAACTGAGGCCTCCCAGGGTCACCAATTAGCACTTTAGTTCCATGAGTCCTGATGCATTTCCTCAACCAGTGATGAAGACTGTTTGCAAGTTGTTCATCATAAAACATATCCCCCAAAACAATGAGGTCCCACTTGTCCAGCTCTGTATCAATGATGTTCTTAGTTAGAATAGGGAAGGGGTTCACATTGTTCAGCTCGCAATTTAATACCATGGCCATTCCTGCAACTGAGAACAAGCACAAAGTACGTGAGAAGTGATTTAGAATTCCCTACTTAAATGCCATCTGTAGTGGTAAACTCTTCTAATATTTTCACAAATTCTTTGTTTGGATAATCTCTTAAATATCAGTGTTATTCTATTAGGTATCTAGATAGCCTTCATTAAGGTAGTAATTTAGTACCTCCCAATCACTGATGGATTTGATTCTCATACCATCCCTGTTAGGTATTATCCCCATTTTACAGATTGGAACTGAGGCACAGTGCAGATGAAGTGACTTGCCCAAAGTCACACAGGAAATCTGTGGCAGAGCCAAGAATTGAACCCACTAGTGCAAATCCCAGTTCAGTGCCTTTTTCACTAGACAATACTTCCTCCCCAGTCAACAAAGAATGTTAAGTAAATTAATAAGAATAAATCAAATGTAAAGGGTGCCAAGGGGAAAACAAGTAAAAATAACATGTAAATTGCTGTTAGCCACATAATCAGAAAATAATTATTAAAACATGTAAACAAGGGACAAATCATTCTTGGTGTAACTTCCCAGAAGTCAGAGTTACCCCAGGGATGGAGACAATATCAGTGTGGTTTATTCAAAAATAAAATCCATAAAATAAAGCTCATTAGTCTCCTTCCCTAAGTAAGGCAACTAAAACCACAGGCTAGTTGTCAAAATTGTGGGTGTGCAACCCCTTAGAAAATCAGGTCACTCACTTAAGTGCTGAAATATGGATAAAATGCATAAAAGTTAGGAATCAGGAACTAAATGCTCAAAGGTAACAGGGCCTAATTTCAGAGGATGGGTACTCAGATCAGTCCTTTAAGGTGTCTCAAATTGGGCACCCCAAAACTGAGACACTCAAAATCAATCACTTTGAAAATAAATCAAGCCTTAAAGTATAAAAATGTAGTTCTACGTTTCCTATGGAAAAAGTGTTAATTTTTAAATTCCTCTAGAAGTTGTGTGTGTTTGGGGGAAGAGGAGTATGTGTGTTTGTAATCTTGCTTTAACTTTAATTTCTTGATGATTGAACTTTCTTTTGTTACAAGTCCAAAGCAGTGTAATCTAGCAGACTGAAGAGTGTGGGGAACGCTTTAGTAGTCATAATCAACAGTCATCTTTCAAATATTAACTTGGATTATTTGCACATACTTTAGAAATCGAGTCTGGGTTTCTTTGACCTAAGTATGAAGAACAAATTGTTAAGGACGAGACTTATCCCATCCTAGAGGTGATAAGCTGTTTCAAAACAGATACAGAAAATATTTGATTAAGATAGTATAGCGATAAATACCGAATAGACTGTGTTTTCAATAGAAATTGGAGAGAATAGATCTATTTCTTTACCAAAATGTATCAGCAAAGAAAGGTTCATAAATGCAAGTTAACCTGTTGACTGACCACCTAGGTGAAGTCATTTAGCCGCTAATCAATGGTGTATACTGAGTGTTACACAATATTGAGTTCAGATACAGGACTGCTGCTACATGGAAGGTGTGGTTAAAAAGCTGCATACACAAGTTACCAAGGGAACGCAGACATTTAGGCAAGATCGCCAGAAAAGAGAAGCAGAGACTTGCCAAGGTATGCAAGGCAGGCAGGGAGGATTTTTGGCATCTTTATAAAAGAAATCACCATCCAAGTATCTGTCAGGTTTGAAGGTGACTCTGTGAGATATCTGAAAAAATATATTAAGTCTGACGTTTTTATTGTTACAAGAGGCCTTGAGCAAATTCACAGAGCCGGTTTTGCATCAAGTTGTAATGCTGCAGAAGACATTAAAGGCATCACCAGTTTTGACGTGATCCAGGCTGTTAATGACTTATACTTGTTATCCCATGACAGATGGTTGGTAGTAAGGGCCATTGTGGAAAAAAATAAGGTGTGTGTAAAATTACTGTGCACTTTTGGCCAGAGAACCCAAGGTCAATACGCAAGTCATGCTACTGCTGGAAATTGAACCAAGTTCTCCTACCAATCCTATGATCTATCACTAGACAGGCCTCCACTGCAGTCCAGTTCCTAGTGACTTGGTGCCCACAACACAAAAAGCACCACTAAAATTGGCAGGCTTGGCAAAGAGGTCAAGGCCTGATTCAGCATAGAGACTAAACGACCCACTTCCCCTGGAGAGTCTTCCAAAACCGGAAGACCTCTTGCTAGGGACAGTACATTAGGAAATGTGCTCTCCCATTCATTTCAATGGGCATGATCACAGAGTGAGGTACTACTTAGGCCATGTCTACACTACCACTTATGTCAGCAAAACTTATGTCGCTCGGGAGTGTGAATATTCCACCCCCTTGAATGACATAAATTACGCTGGCATGAGTGGTCGTGGGCACAGCGCTAGGTCGGCGGGAGACGCTATCACCGCTCATTGGAGGTGATTTAATGATGCTGAGGGGAGAGCTCTCAGCATAGAGCTCTACATGAGAGATCTTACGGTGGCGCAGCTGCATCGGTACAGCTGTGCCACTGTAAGCTCTGTAGTGTAGACATGGCCTTAGTCACGTGAGTAAGAATGACAGAATCTAGTCCTTAATTTTTGCCAAAGGTGCAAGACTGATAGTCAGGGCCTTTCCTATGGGGGTGCGGGGCCCGGGGCGGAAGTGACATCACTTTCGGGACCGACCGCACTGAGGGCAGGTAGGGGAGGCTGAGGGAGGTGGTGCCTCCCCAAACAGCAAGGCGTGGCCCCCCCCTGCACTCCATCCCCCCAGGGCCCCACCTTCCCGGGGCTGGGGAGGCTGTGGCACCACCACGCGCTCTCACTCGGGCGGAAGGGGCGGGGTTGGGGGAGGCAGTTCACACCAACCCGCGGGGTCCCCCAAAGCGTGGGGCCCGGAGTGGTCACCCCCATTTGCCGTCCCCTAGGGACAGCTCTGCTGATAGTGCTGTTAACTGAAGCACTGGGCAGGACCTGTGTAACTTTTTTGCTTCCTTCTAATTTTATTTGAAATCATGAATTTCTCCAAACAACTGAAAGAAATGCTACTCCTCAAATGTGCTTGAAAAATGGCCTTTTGCAGGGCTTGGAAAGAAGTGTCTTACTGGGGTCGATGTCATTAGCATGGACCTGGGATGCACCGCTCATCACAGCAGCGATTGCTGTTGCTCCACATCCACTTCCGAGGTCTAGTACTGATCCCATTCTGACAGCATCCGGGTTATCTAAGATATACCTGAGTATAAAATGAAAACTGTGTGAGAGTCCACTTCATAGATGTAATGATACATGATATTAATTCAGAAGATATTCCATGTATACCTTTGCACACAGTCTCTCATGCAAACCAGCGTGTCTGTGCTAATACCAAAAACCACCAGAGGGTGCACGCAGTGAGATAATAGCAACAAGCTACATCCTTCGTTTCAATCAATCAGATCATTCTCTCAGTTTAAAACATGGAATGAATGGGTTAAAACTGGATGGTGGCTATGAAGCTTGACACTAAAAGCAGGAAATGGAACAACTGTAGCTGAAATTACAGTTACAACGATCAGTACAAATATGAACGTTTTAACAGCAATGTCTGGATAGTTTGATGCAGCACTCAGCCTCTGAGAGATGTAAGTTCTATAACTGCAAAGCAACTCGCTCACTCAAGTCTTGCCACATGATTTATCTGACAACTTGCAACAAGAGCTCCTTTTCTGGTTTTTAAGAGCCACATGCTCCTATTCCACTGAAATACTACACAGGAGTGACTGGAAAAATAAGACTGACTGACTAACAATGAATGTGAGATTATGCTAGGCACCATGACAGCCAGAACCATCCTGCTGTGAAGAATCAGCAAACAAAGAAATACCTCTAACCTGGAACTGAGGAGGAAAAGCCTAAAGGCTATATAAGAGCCAGGTATTATTATTAAATAAAGTGTGTAATTTTCTCCCCTATGTGGGGGGGTGGGATGAAAGTTGTCCTAGCTTCATAGGATCTATGACAATATACACCAGGTGAGAATCTTCCCCATAGGTTTTTTCACACTATTCTGCCATAGGGATGGGGTTTACCAATCATCCTTCCCTTATTCCATACGATAGATAGGCAGCATCACCCTCCTAATGTGCCGATGTTCTGAGATCCACAGGGATATTCTGTAGATCAGAGGGCACCAACAAAAAGGGCAATGGAATTTATATGGTGGCCCAGTAGCACTATTGCCTGCAGGAGTGGTGTCAGGGTTTTTGCCGCCCTAGGCGGCAGCACTCCTCCTCTGAGCATTCAGGGGGCCTGGGGTCTTCGGCGGGGGTCCTTCCGCTCCGCGTCTTTGGGGCACTTCGGCGGTGGGTCCCGGAGCGAGTGAAGGATCCGCCGCCGAATTTCCGCCGCCGATCCGGAGTGGAAGGATCCCCCCCCCATGCCAAATTTCCCCCAAGGGTGGCAAAATGCCGCCCCGCCCCCCCCAAATCCTGCCACCCTAGGCAGTCGCCTAGTGGAAACGCTGGCCCTGATTGCCAGGCACCCTGGGCTGGCTTAACCCATAGGCTAAGAAGGCTATAGCCTTAGGCCCTCCTATTTTTAGGCCCTACTTTAGGCCCTAATTTTTAGGCCCTCCATTCCATATTGAAGTAACAGCTGAGCGACGGAAGCGGGGCCATCAGAAATTTTTTTCTCATTCGATATTGCTCTGTACAAATTGATCTCTCAAGACTGTGAATTCAATTTATGGTGGTTGTGATTTTTGTCTTTGTGGGCTAAGTAATTGTTTGTGGGCCCAAGCAATATTGAACTTTGTACACAGTAGGCCTACA